AGGCTAAGAAGTGAAAAGTACAAGTGGGTAGAGTCCAGCAGAGGGAGCAGGAGACTAAAGGCATAATTTTGAAGGTCTCATATTCAGAGTCTAATGAATAGAATTTTCTTATTTATACTTTAAATAAATACCTTTTCCTTCTGTCTTAATATCCAGTGCTTCCAACCCCCATTATAGCCACATTGTCTAGGAGGACTTTGTTCCTCTTTATGCTTTTATGTAATCAGTTGCAGGACAAGCAGCAACTCCCCAGCACAGACACGCATATGGCATGTTGTGTTGGTGAAGAAACGATTTGGGTCTGGCTTGGGAACAACTATGTATTTTGGCGATGAGAACTAATGCATCTTTCTTGGCAAAACAGTATTTCTTACAGGACACAGGGAAGGACCTTTTGGTGCTCTGTGATGCCTAATTCACATGCCAGTCAGCAGTTCTATCTTTACCTTTTCCTACTGTGTCTGCCTCTGTTTCTAAAATGAGGCTTCCAGTAGTGGCGCTTGAGCCAGGTTTGGGGGACACACACTCGATCTGACTCAAGTAAGGACATCCATTCATCAACTGGCCGGATTATGGAGCAGTGACAGCCATGTCTCGTACTTGAAGATGCATCTATCATAAACATAGTTCTTTACAAGTCACTTCTATCTCCTTTTTCTCTTTGAACTAGCAGTATTTTTGTTTGCTCCTTACAATTTTGTTTGGCTTTTACTATGCATTTTTACAACTTGTTCTAAAGTTGGTTTTGCTCTATGGATTTCATACTAGTTTAAAAAATACTGGCTCAAATGAAACCCCAAAGCAAGTTTTTCATTGATTTCAATGAGGCAGGACTCCAAGCAGTGTCATTTTGTACGTTGCATCGAGGTAATCCAAGAGAAGAGCTCCTGGAGCAAAGAATTGCTCCACTTGAGCAAGGATGGCAGGATGTCATCCTTTGTGTAGCTAGCTGTTCGGGTGCTGTAACAACGGAGTTGCCTTTAAGACAGATTCACCACTGCTTTTTGCAATTTCTGTCACCTGCTTCTATCTGAAAACCACGTGTTTAGATTTGAAGAGCTTGCTTTGTTTGTATTGTTTTTATTTTTGACATGGATACAATACAATGGACACATTCTGGTGTACAAATACACTTACGTGTGGGCTTACTTCAACAAAACACATAACATAATGGGGATTGTAAGGGAAACATACATACAAACATTTTGCTTTGATTAGTGGCATCATATTATTTTCCAGAGAAGACACACATTAATGGAAAGCCATTGAAAAATAAAAACTGAAAGACAGTGTGTTTGTATTTGTTATCTATTAACCCCAAGATCTGATCTCAAAAGGTTCACGTTACAAGCAGTAATTGAGGCAACATGCTTTGGGTAAAATTTCATCCATATCCTGAAATATGTCTTTTAATATATGTTTTTTTGGTAATTTCCAAATCTTGCCCCTTAGAAGGAGGAACATTTTATCAATGTAAAAAACTAGTGGAGAGGTGAAATTAATAATAGAAAGTTTTGGAATATTAAACCCCTAAGCCAAATATTTTTCCTGGAAAATGCAGAGTGAGGTAGTTAATATTATACATAGACAGAGACACATTTGCACACACGCACACATTCTAATGACATTAGCTGCATAAACAGGTTAGAGCATTCCAGTCCTACTTCTTGCAATACTCTCTCTCTCTTTCTCTATGTGTTGATATGCAAAATGCTGTCTTTGTAGAACCATGGAGTACATAAATGCTTGAGGCATCTTTGGAGTTTGCTGAGTAAGTTTCTCCCTGCTTCCTACCACTTTATTATTAATAGCTTTCCACATAACGTTGCTTTTTTGTTAGGTGACAATCCTATCGTAACTTGGTTTCAACTTCAGCTGCTGTTAGGAGGAGCAAAATTCCAGGTGCCTCCACCAGCATTTTGAAATATAAGGCCCAAAGTTGAGACCTCATATTCAAAAATGTCGTAGAGATTGTTCAGTTTGCGTATTAAATCAAGCTAGTGTACCACAACAACACAAAACAACTTAATGTGTAACGGTATTAACCACAGTACCCGTGGGTCATTAGGTCCATTTGTATCAAAAAATAATTTTGCCATTCTGTTTCAGAGGCAGCAGGTATTTGGCCATGCTGTAGTAGTCTGGGCACTGTATGTAGAATCTAGTTTATATGCTAATATGCATGTCTTATGAAGTTATAGGCAATTTTAGTATAAAACACGTGTTCACAGGATGGATTTCATTACATCAGATTTGGCTTTCCGAAGTTGCAAAGTGGTAAAAGGTGAAAGTCTTCCAAAACCTGCTTCTATCCTGTGTGGATTACAGTGAGATCTATTTCAGAAGTAATTTTGATGAAGTCCTCACTTCAGGGTCCAGGACATGCTGAGGAAGTTACAGTGTGAGCACATGGCTGCTCTGTACTTTCCCTTGCCGCGGCCATTGAGAACACAGAATGAAGTGAGTGGGCAAGATGGAGGAGGTCATGTATTTGTCTGAAAGTACTGTAGAAAGTTATCTCATTTGCTACATCATTTCAAATTCTTTAGTTAATGTTTAGGCTTTCTGTATAGTCATAAAAGCTCTTTCATTGGCTATAAATACAACGATGCTTAGCATTTATATGATGCTCTTCATATTCAAAGCACTTTGCACATAAAATCCCTTTGCTGAGTTTGTCCTTCCTAGATGGATGTTTATAACTCCTGTTCTGCTCAGGGAATTGTTTGGCTGCATCCGAGAGTGGAATTTAACTCAACTAATTCTCATGTTACCTTTATAAGGAAAGGACTACTGTTTTACAGCTAAAAGAAAAGGGCATCATAGTACAAAGAGTTGTCCATTGCCACGGAGGGAGCTAAAGGGAATCGGGAACAAAGCACTTCACAAAACATTTATACTTAGCCTTATGAACAAACCACAGATCTACTGTCTCATATACTTAAAATAAATAGTTGTCAAAATAAGCAGCGTATTGTATAATACAACTGTCCTGGTCTTAACCTGGCTGCAACTGTGCATCCATTAGTGTTCAGAAAAAAAAAAAAATTGGAAAGTTAAAAATTTCATTGTTTGAAAGAAAATGAAAGAATAATGTTGCTAAATTTTATCATTTTTAATCTCGAGAAGGTAAGAAAGACAGACAGGATCTGCTCTCTGTAGACATTGTTGCTGGTAAAATTACTGATTCAATGTTGATTTCTTTTACTGAGAACTAACAATGAAAGTTAAATACTGCAGAACATGATTAACTTTGAACCAGAAGCAGGGTTTCTAGAGTGTGAAAACCTTCATCACACAGCTTCAGCAGAGCATCACAAGTTACAGGTTTCTCCACAGGACGGCATACTTTATGTTCACCTGGAGGACTTGGTTCAGAACGCTTTTACATTGCTACCTGGTAAACAGAGCACCAGCTTCTGCCTCACCTGTGTGTCCAGATCAGGAACAAAACCCACTGCTCAGGCTGTGGGTGAATTCATTGTGCAATATCATCATCCAATGACGGAGACATTGCAGTGCAGCTGAAGGCAACAATGAAGTTCCTGTTTTTTGTGTAAGACAAAGATGAAAAAAATACTTGCAGTTTTCCAGAGACTTGTGATTTCCCTACTCAACAAGCATGCTTTAGGTCTGTAAAGTATAGCCAAAACCCAGAGGATTAGGTGAAGAATAGTGCTCACCCTTGTGACTGGCTACAAGCTAGGCATACTGTCTAACATTTGCTGTGCTGCATTCCCAATGCAGTTGCAGCCCGTTGTTCTCTTGTCAGCCGGCGTGTTTTCATAGACTGCATGCCATCTGTAAAAGGAGCTGCAATTTGCTATGTGTTTGTAAAACCTCCAGCACAACTGGGCCTAGTTTGGCTATGGTTTTAAGGCCCTAATGTGTAAATGTTAAATAAGAGTATTAAATCCCTCTGCTCATTGGAAGCTCTTTTTCTTCTCCATGCTGTGTTATACAAGATCCGGACAAAGTTCTCTCTTCTTAATGCAGCTGAATAGTATAAAAGTTGCTTACATATTAAAGCTAAAATAAACAAAAGAAAAAGGATTGGGTTACAAATTAAGAAACTATAAAGTTTAACAAAAAAGGTGATGGCTGTAAGTGGCACCATTAACACATATATTATGGCATTACACAGACTTAAATCTGAGACTATCGAGTAAAAGATGGAGCCAGGGCAATATGCCCCTTCTCACCTAGCATTTGTTTCCCGAAGCTTGTGTGTGTGACCGGGGAAGGAAGGAGAAAATGTTTTGGGGCGCTACAATTGCACACAGTAATATGATCCAGACAGACGATTTTGGAAGACTGGTAGTAATATATACAGTGGTACGTACATAAAGCAGTATAGCTGTCTATACAGTAGTTCTTCCTCCTGCCTCCCTCCCTCCCCCAGCATCAGGGACTCATGAGGAGTGACCGAGAGACATAAATATTGCAGTAATGCACACTGTACGGATTGACTTTCAGCAGAAAGGTTTGATTTTGTCACACAGCTACGTCTTGGCACTGCTGCAGGTCGAGCTCCTCTCTTCCATGTTTGACAGATACCTTCTCTTCTTGAGTGTCTCTGTGATGCTTCTGTGATACACTGTGGTCGGTAGTGTTTCATACATCCGTGGATGCCACTGGATTCTTTCCTTTCCAAAAATTCATGTTCTAACACCAGGTCAGGAAACAAACAACTCCATATGCAACGCGTTGTTTTCTGTGCTTCCGTACCTTGGTCCGTCCTCTTTAACTCCTCGGCCAACTGGCACAAGTGTAATCCATATGAAAGCATAACTGGTGTGATATTTTCAGATGGTCCAGAAGCTGGAGTGATAATGCTTATACCAAAAGTAGTACATGGCGAACATCAGTTGGACAGTACAGTAGGAAGGAATGATATCCTGTAGCTACCATTTTGTTTTGTCTCTGCCAAGAGCTTCTTAAAATGACAGGCATCACTGTCGTCCATTTGGCTTTTGTCCAGTCCGCTGCAGCCTTCTGCTTCAGCTTGCTTTTGGTTTTATCACCCATTCTGCCTGAGGATTTGCGCGGTAAACATCTAACATGTAGGCATCTGGATCCAAACAGTGCTGGCCTGAAACAGAAATCGACAGCCATGAATCATAGGATGTTTTGAGCATGTTAGTAAATGGGACAGAGATATGTTAAAATGTCCTTGAATGTATCTCCGGCTTGCACATAGCGAGCCTAGTTTGCTGTGTCCAACTGACATCTTGCCCGGATACAGACAGGGGCTTGGGTAAATTTGCCAGTGATTTTACTCAGCGAGAGTCATGAATTCACTTTCACTTCCAGGCAGGATACCCTGCATTATGCTGACTTATTGACAAGGTGTTTAGTCAAATGGTGAACAAATATTATGGTGAAGCATTAACAACACTGTTACTGTAAGTGCCACAGTACGTTTTTTTTATTTCTTTGGACTTACTGGGCTGGAATTACAACTCGGTAACTTTGTTTCTACACTATTTTTAAATGCTGAAAAAGTAGCTCTGTAAACCATGTGTTCCTATCCACAGGATCTTGCAAAGAGATGTAGAGACTCTATCAAGGTTTTTGGCAGTTGCTGTTTGGCTGGTTAAAAAAAAAAAAAAAAAAAGTCCTCTGAAGTCTGGCTGTTTGAGGGTTTCTTTAGGTGGTGACTGGGACTAGGAGTTGGGTGGCTGGGGAGTCCCTGCTGCCTTTGCCACAGGAAGAGGCATTTGGTGCCTCTTAATTGAGTTAAGCTGATTTGTTGGACTATATTGCATTTACACTGGGTGATGAAGCCATTTAACTGGTGAGGTTACATTGCTGTGGCACAAGGGATTATGGTAAAATTTCTGTACAGTTACATATAAGGTCACTGGGCTCCTAATGATTTTATTGAAGTGAAAGAAATGTAAATGATTTAATGCATAATCGGTGGACTAAGGTACCCTGAAAGATCTAGGACTATAAAAATAATTTTAAATGAAGATGCAAATTAAATGTCCAGATTTTTGAAAGAGCATGGGGGGGAATACTTGGAATTGTTTCACAAGGCCTTTAGAATCTTCTGCTTTAGCATCAGTTGGTCATCCTGTTTAGCCATGCAAAACAAATCACTAATCAAATTTAGACTTTGTATATCTTCAGTAATAACGACTTTTCTTCTTGACTGCTGCTAAAGCAAGTCTGTGACGTTTTGTAATAACTTTATATAAACTGTTTAGAGCTGAATCTAGAAGAATTAAGGAATAATCTAATCAGACAGTTGACAAAAGACTCCAACAGAGCATCCAGAATTTTAATATCAATAGAGAAAGGAGAGAGTCAGAACTGCGCAATATCAAATTAAAATCTGGTTTTTGACCTTTAGGCCAGGAACTTGTGTGGCAAGCCACTGTTATTACAAAAATGTCACTGCATGAAACATGGAAGAAGACAAAATCCCTACTGCAAGGAATTTACAATCTAAATAAAGCACATGGATTAGTATGAGTATAGTATACCCATACCTGCAGGGGCTGAATTCTCAATTCTGTGTTTGTTATTTGGAGGAGGTTAACACTTAAGTACAGTGAGGAAGAAATAGGTCTCAGGAAAAGGCTTGACAGCAAGGTGGAATGTGCTCACGAGAGGAAGACTAAAGATCTCTTAACCATGGAAAAATGCTCAATTATGAGAGTGAGAGAGGTAAGCAAAAGGTCAGATGAATTTGGCAAGACTGTCAGGAGTCCTGCTGAGATCCAGCCACCAGGTCAGTACCTCCTGCACAGTGCCCCTTCAGTCATGCTGGAGTTGGAAGGAATCGTTACATTGATTTTAACAGCTTTTGGGACAGACTCCTTCCCTGCAGATGGACTGGAAGGGAGGAGAGACCCAGCTGTGTGAAAACAGCACTGCCCTGAGGTGTTTTACGAGGCTAAGGACATTCAGAATTGAATTTTCAAAAATGACACCTACCTATATTTCCTCCAATTTCATGTAAACTTTGGATCTGGCCTCTCATGTTCTGTGATGAACCACGGCTAGGATAGAAAAAAAAAAGTCAGTTTGTCTTTCTGTTATAACCACTGCCCTATCAATCAACTACCATTTATATTAAGGTAAAATTTGATATTTTTGCCCCTGTGAACTTACTTATCAAAAGCAAGGACTTCCACCAAATGGAGCGCTGCAGAATACTGAATGTGCTACAGAGGTAGATTATTTTGTCACAGTTAACTCAGCATTCTCTTATAGATTTCTTTTTTATTATTTATGTAAAGAGAATTACGTGGTAACATCGGAAGACTTTGCAGAAAAGACTTTCAGATACAATTTACCATTTCCCATAACTGTTAATAATTATTACCTTACAGAAATAAAAACAATAACATTTTGTGGGCAGATGTAAGAATCCCTCTGGGTTCTCTATGCGGCAAGTCTATAAAACGTATGTTTTTAGTAGTGGCATAACAGAGGGCAGATTGATTCTGTATAGGAGCCAATTATTAAGTAAAACATAAAGAATGAAATCAGTGGTTAGAATTTCTTTCACCAGCGTAACCATAGATTAGCAATTTTAGATTAGAAAAAGAGTTCTTGTAATGCAATGAGTCTTTGAAAAGGAGACAATTTCTTCATTAATAGTTCTGACATTACTGCTCAGGAAAAACAAAATGTTCTGATTTACCCACCTGTTTTCACAGTGGAAACGAGCCAGGATGTCTTTGGCTTTTGTTTGGCTGTTGAGTTGAATTGCCATAGAGACTTTTGAATGCAGTGGAGCATAAACTCTTATCACACCCTCGGGTATGTCAGACTGCAGGTATGGGGGAAAAGTGACAGCTCCCTAAAATCAATATTCAGTAGAGTGAGTCTAAGCAAATACTGGTGTGGCTCCATTCAGGAGCAGTTCTGCAACTATTTTGAGGTTACTTGCAAGAATCACTGTCCTGGATTCACTTATTCAAAAAACATATTTACAGTTATGCAAACACAAATTTATAGATACAGTATAATAAGATGGAACACAAAGACACAAACTCCTTGGTAAGCATCACATAGATGCATACAGAATAAAGTCCAGCCCTTGATTTTTAATTACTTGCAGTAATACTGAGTCAAGTTGTTATCTGAGATTTTTCAAGTTATTTCTGTTAACATTGGTCAGTGAACCAACTGTTTATTTAAAAGTAAGTAAAAATGACTAGGAATATCTGGTCTTCCTTTTAAAGATGAAATTCTCCTAAGGCATGAAGATCCAGTTCTCTGTTTCCGCTTTGTATAGCTTCAAGTGGATCGAAGCTTACGTACAGTAAAATATCAAACTACCATATGGTTTCTGTTAATTTGAAATTTGACCTTGTGTAGGGTTCAAACGATCATCTATGAAGTTTATGCACTCTTCCATGATTAATGGCGGATAAATCAATTAGCAAGGTTTGCATTCCAGTTCTAATCCAGTTAATACCATGCTGAGCAGAGTACAATAGTCTCTCCAGTCTCTGTCCCTGTGTAATTTAGAATATCTGAGACCTGGGGACTGTGTTAAGTGCTCTCAAAATTCAACTCAGTTATCCAAACACAGTTTGCCTCCAATTTACCCTTCATATTTCAGCTACCTGCAATGGCTAGTCTTGTTTTTATTAGATGCAAAGCCAATTACTTCGATCAATGAACTTGCCTTCCCGAAGGTGCAATGACTGCGGTAATTGACTCTCCTTAGAAGCTCTCACTGTATTTGTTCCAGGGTGAGTATAGTTTTGCAACCCAGTAGTCTACACCACCATTTTAAACAAACATCTGTGTCTTCATCTACAGCACAAATGTGTGTCCTACCCACAATACATTTCAGTCAATGCTGGCAAATGAATTCTCCAAACAGCTGAATTAACATGGATTCACAATTCATACATATCCTTTTTCTTTCTGTTTTTTCCCAGACAGTCCCTTCTGCATTTTCTCTGTTGTCTGTATTAGGTGGCTTAGTCTCTTTTTCTTATAATCTCTTAATACCACTCCTTCCTAATTTGTCTTTTCTTTTGTTCTTCAAGACTATTCTTCAATAACTATAGAGTCTTGACCAGTTCCTTGATTACTCCTCTTCCAATTCACCAGTCTCCATTCTTTTAAACCTCCATGCAAGACTCCAAAGACTTTCTCTCAAGGTTATTAAAGGTAGTTACTACATGGAAATACTACATATAAGCTGCTATAGGGACTGTATATGTTGTGGATGTGTACACAACATGCTTTGTTGCCCAAATTATATGCTACACTTAATACATAAGTTAATTTTAGGTGTCTGTTGAAGTAGCATACCTCAAGTAAGTTCCTAAACTCCATACCCATGCAGTGGAGAAAAGTTGGTGGCTTTAAGACCTCCAAAGGAAGATTTTTTGTATCAGACTTTGCTAAGTCTGAACTGCACCTGGAGCTCTGGAAATCCTCAAAAGTATCCACCTCTCTCTTCTGACTATATGGGGAATAACAACACAAACTACTTCATTAGGGACTTAAAATTCAGACCCAGTTTTGGTGTCTATGTTAGGCAAACTGGATTTTCTCTCTGCTTAGGAAGTTAGTGCAAAACTGTAAAACTGAAGCTTGCAAGGAGAATATTGAGTGGCCTGGACCAGGGCATGGGTAAGTACAATTAATCCTAATATGGACCATCATACTACTCAACTACAGATCCATGCATTTGTTGAATATCTACAGATCATTGCTGTCAAGGACAGTCCACATATGACCATTTTCTTATAAAACAGGTACAAAACCAGCATGTGTTTGTAACAGCTTATAGCTTGGGCTGCTGGAAATCATTCTGCCTTCCTCATCTTTTCTCAATCAATCCCCAAAGCTTTGTCTTATCAGGATGCTGGACTGGGAAGCACATCTTTCAAGATAGCTCCCAAATCTGCTTATTTTGTATGGTAAAATTTCCTCCCCATCCCTGGAGGCTTTTATGAGAAAGAAAGGAGGGAGGCTGGTTAAAGCTGTATTTGAAAATGGTATATTTTTATCACACCTCTGGTCTTTCAGGTCTCTCCCGTTCCATGGTCTTTCTTCTCAGAAGTTTTCTCACTCCTTTGTCAAACATCAGCTGCCTCTTGCTGTTGTTCATTGCTGCCTCATTCATTTTTCTCACTTGGGAAATCAGGAAGGATGGGACCTAAAGGGAGGAAACCAAAGCTGAGAATATACGGTTATTTTTTCCCCCATGAAATTGGTGTTGGGGGTTTAGAAAGGCACCAATTTTTAGGCAGCAGAAGCTCTATTTATTCCCAGAATATATGTGTGATTAGTAGTTCCCTCTAACAATCTACAGTTATTCCTTTGGTGAAAGTGTAGATCACCTTTCATACCATATGAAACTTTTTAGTTATGTTTGCAGTTGTGGGAACTTTATTAGGAGGTAGTCTTTGCAATCCCCATCGTACCCTCCCTCTGTTATGAGGAAATGAGCTGAGACTGTCGTCATCTTCATGCCAACCTTCGGAAGTCCAGCAAGTAGTACATGCTTTTGGCCCATATTATTAAAGGCTAGACTTTAAACAGCAATTTAATCTCATTTAAATTTAAATATATCTCACCTTTGCATCTAGATTAAATCATTCTCCTATGTATTCTTCTGTATAAACAATGGTGTGGGATAGATACCTCCAGAGGGCAATTCGTGCTAAGATGGATGTCTTGGTGACATAGGTGAGGTAAATCTCCATCCAGAGGTATCTGTCATCCTATCTCATTCTAGATATAGAAGACTCCAGCCTGTTTCCAAAAAATAGCTAACTGTTTCTTCTAGGAACATCAGTCTACTCTGATTTCTACAGAGCTGCTGCATATAGCAAAATACTTCTCTGTACTGGAGCCATAAAGAGGTAACCAGCATTACTCACTGTCCACAGGATGTCCTGGTACCGAATTAAAAGCCGCACAATGTGTGCTGTGGTGGCAGCTGCTTGCATTTCTTGTTGGTTTGCACGTTTCCCTTTGTAGATGAAGAGGTTTGGTGCAACAATCATAGAAACATTCCACAAATTCATTTTATTTTTCCCTTCATTAGCAACCACCTTCTTCAGGAACTGAAGAAAGGCCTGGAAAAACAACTCGTGTTATGCTGAGTCTCACAAAATAGTTTACTTATTAAATGCAGCGTTTCCAAATGCACAACATGTCTGGCTCAAAAGCTGGTATATTTGCATTTGGAGGTGAAATGTAGGGTTTTTTTCATTCTAATTTGGATTACTCTGATATTTGCTGGCACATCACAGAGGAATAATGTTATCAAAATACACATTAATACTTTATCTATCACTTAGAGCATAATCCCAAATCTGTAAGTCAAGTACAGTATCTGCATTAAGGCTCTGAGTCCTGCAGTAGAGGAAAGATAGAAAGATGTTGCAATAGAATAATTTCTTCATAGATTTCAGGGTGTCAGTTCTGATGTATCTGGCCAGTGCTTTTCATATTGCAGCCACCAGGGTGATCAGCCTCTCTTCAAATGTGCACCAGTCCCATATATGATATAATCTGAGGAATTTTTGCCAGCAACCCCCAAACTTTTGTTCTGGGATAATGAAAGCAAGAAGCGCTCAGTGGTTGTTCATTGATGTCACTTCTGCACATGCATGGCACAGTCAAAGGAAACTAATTTCCCTTTTGGGCAGTTTATTCAGAATTTTGCTTGAGTGAATGAATAGGATGGATTGCAGCTGTGGTTAGAGTTGGGGTCTGCCAAGGAGTCCTTTTGCAATACCATACCATTAAAACCACTGCCTTTGTACCCTGACATTGCAATTAAAACATTTTTACAAACCCAGGAATTACAAAACAGAAACTGTGTTGGAGAAATTTCTAAAGTCTCAGTATATATAGCAAGTAGAGATGCATTCAGTTTTGTCATCACTTCTATTTTTGTATAAAAGCCTAGTAATAATTAAGACTACTCATCTAGCACGTGTTTTACATATACTGCTCTGTATCAATATGGACTTTGGTAGAAGAAATAACCCCCATTCTTCACAGAGTACTAGTAGACCTCCAGATGCTTTAAAGAGGGTTGTTATTCTTGTCCCTTGTTATTGTATAAATAAATACAGGTAAAGAAGGCACCTGGACTTTCATAAAGCTATATCTAAACTGACCAGTGGGAGACTTCCAGAGGTGGGGGACCTGCAGGGTCCTGGTGAGCAGGGGACCTGATGAAATGTCTGGGGGCTCCTAGGCAGCTTGTTCACCCAGGTTTCCTTTATGTGGAAGTAGGTCCAAAACCACAACCAGTGTCTCTCAGGACATAGCTGCAGCCAGATCTGGGAGCTCCCAAGCACCGAAAATGCTTGTACCCAATGTGTCTGTATCAGGAAGTAGTAGTATATGGGTGTGGGTGTGGGTTTGTAAGGCAAAGGAGCTGAGGCTGAGGCCCTGACATCCGTGCTACAGATGTACGTTTCAGGGGTTTTTACTTTGGACTACCTCCTCCAGTCTATCCAGTGCCCTGGAAGCCCTTCAGCCCTGGGAGTGCACTAGGCAAGTTCCTGGGGGGCAGCTTCTAATTTAACTTCATCCCAGAGAATTCCAGTTATACTGAAAACCCAGAAACTGGACCTTCTTTTTCCAAACTATGTGAGGAACATGCCTCTTGGAAATGAGTGCTCCAGAATAAATGAGGCCTGGGAGCCATTTACTGACACCAGCAGCTGGATACCTCCAGCAACTATTTCTTAATTGCTTGTAAGAGAAATGACTGCCAGGGAATTGGAACATCTTTTCAAGGAAATGATAAAAAACACAGATGAATACTTTCATGGTGCAGTGTCTGATCAACTGAATGGTAATAAAAAAACATGTCTCTCATTTAAAAGTCAAAGGCACCACAGATGGCAGGTGATAGCAAATGAAGAACTTACCTTGGCTGTGTCTCTGTTGGCTTCAGGCAGCAGCATGATCAACAGATGCAAAGCTTGTAGCTGTAACTTGATCTTGGAGATTTCTGAGAATACGAATCATTAATGTTTTTGAAATCCCAATTACAATTGGTTTGTTCTAAAATGCGTGTTGGTCATCAGTGCTAGAAACACAGCAACCACTGCCTGGTTGAGACTAGTATGTTTAGATATTTATTAACCATAATCTTTTCCCCAAATTTAAAACCAATTGTAGTGAGTGGATTTTTCGTCATCATCTTGGGTCTTTGTCACCAGGGAAGACAAGGCTCTATAAAATTCTGTCTAAATAGCAAAGAGCCAATATTTTTCAGTACTAGCCAGTTTCTCTTTGATATCTGGGTCAAAATGTGTTGTATATGGATCAAGTATTTTCCCCCTTTCAAACTGAAATGGATATTTCTTTTCAGAAAAATTTCAGACTTGTTATTGAGTGATTTGCTGAATGCTTGTGCCGTTGGAGTGGAGACTGATTGCTTATGACTTAAAAAGTATTTGTCGCAAGTCTAGCACTCTAGATAAATGTAGAGCCCCTTGTCAGTTACAAAATACCATCATTTTTTCAGCAAATGGTATATATTGATACTGTGCAATGCTCACCAGAAGTGCTGGGGTGGAGAAGATGGGAAGAATAATTCTACCATTTGCTTCCACTCAGGGTGGATGAGAGAGGTTTGGAGAAAAAAGAGCAAGTGTTGTGGGCAGTGTATCTGTTGGAGGGGATAAAGTCACTTTATTGTTCACAGACACCTCACGTTCAGTCTTCTCCAAACTGCTAAGTGACCATAACTGCATGAAGTCTGGAACTTACAAGGAGCACACTCAGGTATGTGAAGGTTACAGGAAGGCATCACCTCCTTGTGCCCTTTAAACTACCTCAGGAAGACACTGGAAACTTGGCTGCAACCTTATATAAAGGTTCTAAATTTTCTGTACCAATTTGCCCAATTCACCATCCTGATAGTTTCACGCTGTCCTAGCTCAAGTGGATTTACAATGAAGTCAATAGGTATTGCAAGGTACTACTGCATTCTTCCTGGAGGAGAAATGAACAAAATGTACTGAGAATGAGCGGGTGTATGTACACTGAAAACAAATCCTGACAGCCTGCAGCTTTCTGTGATCACATGTATCTTTGTACAAATATTCTGACCTCAGCATAAACCCGGAGAGAAATAAAATAGATCCAATAGAATATCAGCTAAAGGTCAGTGACCTGAATTTACCTTGCAGAAATTTTCATTTGCAAAATCTATAATTTGTGTGAATAAGGGTCTATATATGAAAGTTATTACTCAGCCAACGTTTGCTCACAGATTTCAAATCTCACATTTAACAGTTGTGTCACTCACACAATGAGTCTATGCTATTAGCTAATTGCAGAGACTTTTTTCCCTTTGAAAAGGAAAGCTTGCAGAAAATTTAAATGTTTAGGCAATGCACTGGGCCGCTTTTTCTCTCTACTTCAGAGAGAGAAAAAATTACATGGTTTTTTTCTCTCTACTTCAGAGGCACAAAATAATGTAATGTCTACTATTACATTTTATCGAGATCAGTCCATACTAACTACTTTTCCACCTACTTTCCACTAGCATGATGAAAGCAGGAAGATATTCTACTGTGAAGAGTGGGCTTGGGAGTTCTCTTATAAACATTTTCAGCAGTCCTGCTGCATCATTATTTCGTACTTGGTCCCAGTCAAAAGTGTCTTCGTAAAATTTTGCCTCCAGTTCTTGATGGAGATTCTGAAAGATAAAAGGAACATCTGACATTTAATCATTGCTTCTGACCTGGCAGTTTGAGATCACTTCAGAAATCCCATTGCAAACAACAGGCAGGTTTACACTGTAGTTGCATTAAAGTAGCCCTAAACCAGTAGCAGTCAAGGTACAGCTGTGCAGAGTTCAGAGCAGGTTAACAGATCAGATTCCTGGGGATATTTTGCAACCCAGGCTAAATTTGGTTTGCCATAGCTAGATTTCTGCCAGTGACCCATCTGAACCATTTTAAAGCAAGACAATTTTGTGCAATGTCTTAGAACTAGAAACAGAAAATTCAGTTAAACAGAATTTTTATCACAGCTCTTCATTTTGTTTAAAACACTCTCCAGAGTTTTTGACCCTTAAATCACAAAGGAGTGGCATTTCTTCCTCACTGCCAGTGAACTTGCTAGATAATCTGTTGGCATCCGAGTCCATGGGCATTGAGCAAATGGCTTTAACTTCAGGTCTTTCTGTCTTTAGAAGGATGTTTTCTTTTAGGATAGCTATAATTAGATTTGATCACTTTGTAGAAAAATAAAGGTATCAAACCATTACTTTGAGAAAGCCTCCACTTAATACATGCCAAAAAAAACCCTCAAAAATCACAAGAGAGATCTAAGACAGAATTGATTGTACCCTTTTGGGTGCCCATTTAATCCTTTTGTTCTCCAGTGTCAGCATCTTGCTCTGTAACAGAGGTATATGTAGTTCTGGAGGGTAACTAATCAATCTTTCACACAATGTGAATGGAAATATTCAGTAAGGTTCCTAGTAGGAACAGAACATGGCTTCAAACCCAGATCACTGCTTGGAAAATGCAAGCTCTTCAAAAATTTGTCAGGTCAATAAGATTGAAGGAGGCTATTGTAATATAAGGATATCCATAAATAATGTAGCTTTCACAATTATTGCTCCCAAACACTGCCTTATCCATAGGAAGTTTGTTGCTGCTTTTTGTGAGACCATTTATAACAAAATATATGTCGCTAATATTCAGGTTTCAGATCATGTTTTTGTCAAATGTGATTTAATATTAGGCAAAAAAGTTTAGTCCATTCAGACAGAAAAGCTTTTAAAATGAATTCTGTTTACTGTGTCTTACAAGAATGGAAGGAAATTACATATCAAATATGGTCACACATAATGAAGTGGAATGGTTAGCACAAAAGGAAGTGGAAAATCATTCAGGATTTGGTGTATAATGTTACAATCTCATTTTTACCAGCACATTTTACTGGTTGTAATCTGGGCTATCTCAGCTTCCTCTGTATTCACATCCTTTGCACATAATCCATACAAACACCTGGACTAAATTCTCTCCTGGTAACTGACTGGGAAATGCAGAACACAAATCCTCACCTCATCAAAATCACAAGGGGAGAGAAAAACTACTCCACATTTTTCTGCTGAGAACTGGGAAAAAGCCATAGAAATAGAAAGCAAGATTTTTGAAACATAAATTTTTTAAAAATATATCCACACAAGCAAGCATGTATGTATATTTTATACTCTCACCCTCCCATGTACATATATATATGCACCTAAGTACTTTTAAAAAAAGTTTTTGCAATATTATTTTAAACGTGACTGATCCTACAGTAGACTATCGTGCATTTTTTGTTCACTGGAGCTTTTGTTACAAACCAGATTACAGACAGAGGAAAATTTGTATTTATTTCTTCTATTCTTTGTTTTATATAAAACTAACCTTTAATCATTTCCATATGCCTTTTCTTTCTCCAAACAAGACTGAAATAAAATTGGAATGCCCTCAAATCCTAATGTCGTAATAATGTATGAAGGCTTTGAAGGATGAAATTTGGATCTGCTTTGAAAAAAATCTCTCTCTTGCTGGTTGGCTTGTTGGACAGACTTATATGAAGCCAAAACTCAGATAATTTAAAACTTTCATAAAGGCAGTTTAACTTACCACCCAGTATAGCAGAGTTACATATAAAGTCATATCTTCTAGCAGCTCCCTGGGTATAGGTTGTGAATAAGAAGTGAACAAGACACAGTACAGTATATGCAAAGAATATGAAAGTAATTTAATTACGTAGAGCACAGCCCTGCTGTGTAATCTCCCCGGAGAGATTGGGAAAAATTGAGATTGTGTGAAATAATACTTTAAGTATTTGTATGAAAAAAGCGAGGAAGCTGAAAAGTACAGGCCAAATTAGGAACTCCCTTCTGCAAGATGTGGCGCTTTGTAAGGTGCTGAGAGCTTTTATCAATCCACAGAGTCAAAGGGAGCTGGGATGCTACTGCCTATCTTCAACGCGTTTCATGTAATGCCACTTTTTCTTGTACAGTCATTTTTATGATCCCCAGCCCATAAACATTTAGCAATCCCCAAGATTACTCTTTGTGTGGCTGCCATGATGTTGAGAATTTCTGCCTCAGAAAGCAAGACAAGCTTTCCTGAGGATGAGAAAGTGGGACTGGGATGCACTAAAAGAAGTTCTTTAAACCAGATTAAAGAAACAAATAGAAAAAAACAAAAATCTGGGAAAGAGGTAGACACTACTAAGCCAATAAAGAACTTGTTTTCCTAATTTGCCTCTGCCAAAGGCTTCCAGCTCCTGGAAGCAAGTTAGTCTTGAGAAACAATTGCAAGCATTACTGTACCACAATGTCAGGTTACTGGGTACCAACTATCTTGTGTCCATAGCCCACAAATAGCCTGTGAAAATGCAGTACTTGAGGCTGCCAAACAGTGAACGCAGGCCAAATTTCTCTCACTTGGAACATGAAATTGTAAGATCACAGAAGATAAATGAGAAATAAAATGACATGAAGGTTAAAATGACATAGAATAAGATCCTTATCTGAAGTTTGCTCAGTTTAGCAACTCTGGATTTCTGAAATAAATTAAAACAGAGATAAGATCACAGCAGTTTTGGACAACAGAGATAAACTGAAAGGATCCCTTAATGTTTAGGAGAGGAAAAACTGCATTCAACATCAAGTCTGTGCTTTATATAGAATATTAACAAATGCAAAGCAATACACCACATGTTCTGTGATTTATTGGTTCCCAGGAACCAATCTGACCTTTCACTGGTAGGAATAGAAATGCTGATCTACACACACCAGTATTTATGTGCAGTGTGCATTTGTCTGTTCTGTATTATTTTACATAGGGTCTGTGGTCCAGGAGACAGAAAACTGGCACGAGTCTGTACCTTGACTCTGGAGGCAGATCCAGGCACTCGTAGAATTCCTTCAGTTTCCAAACCTGTGTCCTCAAGCTTAAGCAGCAACTGAAAAAAAACCATCAAAACCCAGGAAAATACTCAGAAACACTTAAAAATACTATTGCTTTTTTCAACCTAGGTATCCTTGAAACTAATTTGAAAAAGATACATTTCTATGTAATTTGCTAATGAAAACAAGCCAGCTCATGTAAGTAAACGTTCCAAATTTGTTCTCCATATTCCTGACCCTGAAATAGAGAGTATGCAGAGTATGGAAAACTGATAATGCAATAGGCCGCTCTGTCCTTCATTTGAGACTTGGCACTGCTATAGAACAATTAACACATAAACGTATTAATAAAAGGGCAGATACACTGGTAAAACACAATGGTGTTTTGAGGGAAAATTAATCTCTCAGAAATGTTTAAACATTTCTGTTTAAACTCCTCAGTCTTTCCCTGAGGAGCACAATGGAAAGGTCCATAGATAACATACGTTTCTGGGAACTGAGAACTCAGATTAGAAAATGATCCCAGGATATTTTGTTTTGAAATTTCTGTGAATTAGAAGAATAGACTTTCCACTCTAATTCTTTATAAAAAAATAAATATGTTTTGATTTAACATAATTTAGAACGAGGGGAAAAAATCATTTTCTAGCATTTATTCATACAGCTCTGTATTTTCACTGCCAACCTTGCTTCCTGCCTTAGCTGTTGGATCCTTCTAATTTCCCATGGTATCTTGACAGGGGAGCTGTGGAGCTGATTGCCAACTCATGTAAATATTCAAGTCATATCAGTCTTTCCCCTGACACTCCACACCACTTTCCCTTTTGTCAGTATTTACAGGGAAATTTGTTGTAGTTTCAAGTCTATGTAAAGCCATGTAATTACATAGAATCGTTTAGGTTGGAAAAGACCTTTAAGATCATCCAGTCCAACCATTAACCTACACTACCAAGTCCACACTAAACCAATTAAGGGTAGACTAGACTAAACCATGTCCCAAAGTGCTACGTCTCCTCAATTTTCTGAATGCTTCCAGGGATGGTGACTCCACCACCTCTCTGGGCAGCCTGCTCCAATGCTTGACTACCCTTTCCGTGAAGAAATTTTTCCTAATACATGTGTGCTTGTGTCTGCGTACCTGTCTCCAAGACATCTGCTGAATGCCATTGTATTGTCAAATGACTTAAATAAATGACGTCTTGCCATACAAACCTCAATGAAAAGATACCACTTCCATTCTGGAAATAATAGCTAAATAATACCTACAGTTTGAATTCATGTGTAATTAAAACTCCTGAGACAACTCATCTCTGCCACTTCTGCACACACAAACAATCGTACATGGCTCTCCAGTTTAATGAGAAAGGGAAACAGAAAGCCAGACATTTGTTTCCCGAAGTTTCCTGTACAGCACCATGTAACTGCAAAAGTGGAAAGAAGTCCCCACCACAGAAAAAACACAAAAAAGGAGAAAATTTTTTCTCCTTGTCACAAGGTTTTCAAACCACAACATACAGACAGACAACCTGTGAACACCTTCAAGTCTAAAGCCTACATCTTCTTTTATCTGATGTCTGCTTTGAGTGTCAATGCCAATGATGGAAATGCGAATCTGAGTGGCCGAGCGGGCTGAGTTATACTCACTTTTTGGAAGATGAGGGGAACTTTTATTCCAGGAAACTTCTTTTGATCATTTTCCAGCAGTATGGTCAGAGGGACTCCAAACAGACCATTTTCTTAAAAATAATAACAAGAAATGTGAAAAAGAGGAAACACAACCTCATATGCATCTTCTTTGCAAGGCTGAGTGGTGCCCAGGTGGCCACCATGGGGTTGCCACAGCACGGTACCTCGTCCCCGCACCCTCTCTAAGCGGTTCCTCTTCAGCTCCACCCCCAGTGCGTCATAGAAGGCCGTTAGCTCAATCAGGGAGAGGTAGCGGATCTTCTTCATGTCTTCCGGAGAGAGGTCTCCAACCTCTGTCAGTCCAAACCGGCTTTTCCGAACAATGAATTTCTACGGTAGAGATGGGTTGCATCTTTATTTGCACAAAAATTACAGGACATGAATTTTTGTTTTGAAAGAGATGCCTGTATGTGATACGAGGTCATATTAGGGATACGGATAACACCAAAGAGCTGAACTACAACCCTATATATTGGCCTGGTATGTTGACATAACTTGCATTCATCTGAAACATAAAACCGAGCTTCTTGCTCATCATGTTCCCTTGCAGTTTGACTGGTAAGCAGTGCTGGAGCGGAGGTGTTAACCTCAGTACTCCAGCTGGGACAAATGAGCTACATGCTACTTAAACTTTTGCCCAGTTTCAGCAGGATGCAACATTTTGCTTTGCTTCTGCCTCCCCCAGAGCGTCTTTGAATGCTGGTGAAGTAGCTGACACATTTCATCGTGGATTTGGTTGTATATCAAGTGTGTGTGTGTGTAATTAATCCATGCTTGCTTTGCATTTTACCATTAATTTATGAGGTCTTACAGGAGAGTTCAAACTAAAGACCTGAGGAAAGGCACAGAAGCAAAATCACTTAGTCCTGATGCCAGCCTGCCAATTTGCTGGTACTTTTTATTACTCAAGAAGCATTTAGGCTTAGAAACAGGACTCCCAGCAGCTAAGAAAGAATTTATTCAAGTAGGCTTGAACTAAATGATACTTAGTAATTTGAGGGCATGTGAAGATGTCTACATATTTTAGAAACTGCAGCATCATGGACCAGAGCCAGTAATGTTTCGTCATGACAGAAGCATTTGTACAAATGTCAAAAAGAACAAATACCCATCAGGTTTTGACATAATTATTAGAAATAATAACAAAGTTATAGTAAAAAACATGCTTTTCAAAGAACTGTGGATCTTTGGTATTGTATGTTTTTTTAATGTAATTGTAATTTAAACCAATAATTGTTAGTCAGAGGTGTAAATAAATAGCATTACAAATCATCTCCTCCCTTTAGGGAACTGAGTGGAAGCCCAGCCTTTAATAATGTTTTGCTTCTGGAGATTGCAGCCCAGTCCTCCCTTTTTTAAACAAATCTGGACTCAATAGGTTTAATCCATCCTTAGATGAAGCCAGTCAAACAGCTGAAGAAAAAAGCAAACAAAAAAAGAATTAAACTTACACCAGATTTCAAAAGTAAGAGAGGACAAAGGACATCTAGATCATGTAGGTTAGGACTTCCTAAATCACATTGTACATGGTCTTTCAATAGAGGTTAATCATAATTGCGGGAGGAAGAGTGCAGGGGATGGAATAATTAATTTACATGCTGTCTGGGGTATTTTATACCAGAATCTTCCCTCTTCACAATGTAGTAATTCCATTGTTACTCTTATGCTGAGACTTAATAATGTAACAAAAACTACATGGAGGATAGTCTTCTGAAGACACATAAAATACTAAAGAATTCGTATGCATTTTGCGTCCAGTGATACAAAAAGTCCAAAATCAGTCAAAGCACAATAAATCATCTTGAAAATAAGAAAAAAATCACACAGTATATGTGTATTTTCTGAGGGGAAAGGGAAAAAGTATGTTTGCCAAGAAAAAAAGACAAACACTCCAAAACCAATTACAATGATGTTCCATGGTGGCTGGTTGACTCCTAGGGTCACTATGATGTGATGCAATGTTAACAACAAGGTTTGGGGCTGGGCCTCTTTCTGCTGTCTTATGTCACAATTTTCCAGTGATTTTTCTTACAAACAATGGAGTCACAATATGCAGCCCTGAAGGAGGCTGTGCTATCCTAGAATTAGATTACTAGCATTCTGACTAAGGATCATGTCTGATATTGTATGACATGTTGTTTCTATATGGAACTATACAGTGTACTAAGATGGGCCTGAAATGCTACTGACTCTTAGTTCTGTAATATCTTCAGCTAAGTCACATTGATCATCATCCCACATTGGGGAAATTGCATGTAACCCTATGCAGGCAGTGATGTTGAGTTGGCTGTTCTGGGAGCTGCAGGGGACACGCTATTTTATGATATATAATCTCTCTCTACGCAGCTTGGTATATGCCATCCATGAAGTTGGTTATATTAATGTGTCAGACCTGCCCTGGAGACAGTATGATGTTGTGTAGACTTCAGTCTGGCCCTGTTGGCCCACCTTGAGGAAGGAGGGACAGTCCTTCAGCGTGTAGGTGACTGGTCTCTCTGTGTAACAGAACAAGAGGTGATTTATTTGCTGGGGCCCATTACAGTCTGAGCCATTATGGGGAAAAGACAAATACCATGACTGGCAGGATATGAAATAAGAGAAATGCCAATGTCAACAGCTATGATTGTTGACTTTATTCAGAAAGTCTGTGTGATGACCTGGCATATTTCTCGTGTACTCTTCAAGCACACAAAATGTCCTGCCTGCAGAATAGTTCATCTCCAGCGCAATATTGGCCTTTTCCAATACTAATCAATTATGTATCCACAGGTCCATGATATTCAATGTGGCACCTTCTCTTCCCTGTTTGTTACCAGTTTCCCTCCTCTATCAACTGAAAATTGTCTGAGCTGTTGCAGAGAACAATTTGTGTGTGTCTTGTAGTGAAGGCTGGGGTCCTAGGTTTGCTATTACAAGGAACAAGGATGAACCTTTGGTTTGCCAAAATCATGATGAATGCAGAGATATCCTTACTCTCCACAGGACACTGTTATCCCCACCACAAACAAACAAACAAACAAACAAACAAACAATCCAAAACCAAAAAACCCCAACAGACACACAGGGATTTCACACCAGTTGTAATGTACTTGGTGTCTTATCCCTCCTTTCAACAGGGAAGGTTACTTCTGCATCTCAGGTTCTTCTTCCTTGGTGGTGCCTGAGATGGACAAATGGATAATTCTCAGAGAATTCAATGTCTGTGTGGATAGCAACAATTTAAGATTAGTCCAGGACCTCAGGACATCATAACATTCAGGAAATGCTTCCAAATAATTTACAGCTATTTCATACATTTCACTGAAAAGGTGGTATCTGAAGCACAAACCTAATGCTCCAGTTTTCAGTAATGGAAGTTGTGAGGGCTGATGGAAATAGAAAACTGACTTCCTTGACTTCAAGAAATAATTCCAGATAATGACAACTGCTCAGTGTATGTCTGGTTGGATGATATGATAAACTTTCCTTTAACTGTTCATGTGGTATCTCCCATAGCATAATTGCACTCAATACTGATTGGAGACAATCAGTACTGCTGCAGGAGTAAGGCTTGCTTTCCCCCCTTCATCCCTGAAGCAATTTTAAATCCATGTGTTAACAAAGGCAGATAATCTGTGGGGGAATAAAGTAGGAAAGCAGACCAGTAATGAAAATGATTGCTAGTTTTAGTGCCAGTAACTGGTCTTTATTTCTATGTGAAAAATGTGTGGATGATGCAATATTTGTGGCTTGAGTTACACATATTCATCTGTGGTGGGTACAAGTAAAAACCAGGCTTGGATATCCAGTTTAGCTTTCGTGCCGCTCTGGGAATCAGTCACAAGCGACAGGCAAGCACAGCGGGCGGTCTCTATAAAGCACACATAGCAAAAGGCAGCTAATGTATCTTAATGGACTCCAATATGCTGGGGATATAAAGCAGGAAATTACAGGGTTAAAGAAAACAATTGAGGAAATATGTTGAGAACAAACTTACAGGCAAAGCAGAGTCTTCCTTTTTGAACCTCTGGTTTTTCGGCCATTCTTGGGTTTTTGGAAGGACCGTAATGGATTCTGAGAAAGAAACCTCATAGGAGAGCTCTTCTGTTATGGATGGGCTGCCTTTATCTAGTCCGCAGTCTAGACAGCTATTAGCTGAGAATAAGGGAAATTATATATGAATGCTGAATGTATGCTTGCGTTTACTGCAGAGACATTAAAAAATTGAACCAAGATGACAAAAATCTTGAGAAAGTAATAAAGGAAGTGCTTCAAAGAGGAATTTCAGTGTAAACCACAGCATGTTCCTGTTTTGTCTGGAGGAAATAACCCCTTAGAAATAAAATCCCTATTTTCATTTTAGATTATTTAACTTCTTGCTTTTTGTGAGAAAGATACTCAAGCTGGAACTTCCTGTTTATCAGGAATTACCAAGTTTTTGTACTCCATCCTTGTCTACCCAGACGAGCAAACTGTGTTGGCACTTGTTTAATGAACAATTAAAAATAAAAGTTCCTGACAGAAAAATGCTGTTGACACGGTTTCTCAGGTCACTGTTGACTTATTTACAATCATAAGACATTGTGCATGTATTTGATATGCTCATATACATATATTTCTCACAGTTGCTAGTTTAGGTGTGTAGCACCAAAACAGGACTCAATGTACAATCTTCCAGTTTGAAAAACACCATATCTACAGGAATTTCTAATAGATATTGTGAAATGACTTATTGTTGTACTCTAAAATTTAGTCACCTGCTCAAATTAGTGGATGCCAAAGGAAAATTTTTGAAATCAGTACAATCAAGTACAGAAATACCCTATTGTCATGGAGTCCAAAGTGTGATAACATGCATGAGTTCCAGTGTTGCCAACTTTCATGACTGATCCCTTACATCTCAGGACAATTTTACATTTTCCATTAAGGTCCAGCTCCTAGACCCATGCAATTGGAACAGAATCATAATTTTCATTGGAAGTGAAGTAAAATTTCAGCCCCCAGGACTGCAGAGAAGAGTTTACTAACATGACCCAAGCGCATTCAAAAGCCATGGAAATCAGAAAGTGAATTAAAAAGCATTACATGTTTTATAAACATGTGCATGCCCCATGATTTTTGAATCACTGAATTTACAGATACAGGGACTTAAACATTTTTTGCAACACCCTTTGTTTTGCCAGCCTTTGTTTTGCAAGTCTGGGATGAGAAAGCTAAGTGTGTTATTAAGTGGCTTCTGAACTGTGGCCTTAGATGTTACCCAATGGCCAAGCTGTTTTAAGATGTTTTCCATCTCTTTTTCCATCCTTGGACCTGGGACCACAGACCATCTGCAGTGGCCCTGGCAATTTTGTTCCCCATCTGTTCTAGTACAACTGCTTGAGGAGCAGAGGTATCAGCAGAGCAGCCAAATGAACAGTTTTCACAACCAAGGAAAATGTCTGTGGCACTATATCCAGAAGTAAACATCTAAGAGACTAGTTTTGAAACTCGGGTATTGATATTCGTTTAGTTAAGCCCTGAACAATGGTGATGGGAAGAGCTTTCAAAATGGAAGATGGACATTCCCATGGAAGGCTGCTGACAGTTATCCCGACACTGAGTAGAGCAGAGCTATCATTTTCATTAGCACTGCCAATCACTGTCAGGGCAAGTATTTAAGGGATGTCCAAAATAACTGCATTAGTAGATCAGAATAATAGGGCAGAACCAGAAAAATGACAAGTTTCTAATACTACAGTTTCTGCAGTACTGGAGAAGAAATATGAAGGAAGGAAATATGCATCTTTCTTGTCATTATTTGCAACAACAAAATACACTGCTGACATATTTTGCACAAATTCTGCACTATCTTGTTTAGAGGTTATTTTTACATTCCCAGCCTTGCAGCGATCACTACTTTTTAGACACTGATGCCTCAAGGGCAGCAGTCTGTGTCTGTACAACACCGGTCTTGAATGCGAAACTTTGGTTCCTGCATGACAATAAGCTGACAGTGCTTTTAAGAATGTATGTGCAGCATGGCCCCAACACAGAAGAGGGGACTAACCTCAGAACCACAAAAGGATCTTTCTGTCTATCATTTTCCTAGGAGGAAGTGAACACTGGTTACATGTTTGCATACTCACAGCTAACTGATTTCCAAACTGGCTTCTGCCCAGGAAGCTGGATACCATTAGAAGGAACTGGTGACACTGGAACTGTCTCAAATGTGGGCTGATAGGCAAGGAAAAATGATCAGACTGCAGTGAAGGTAAACGTCTATGGACAGAAACTGCTACAGTTCAAGCAACAGCGTATCATTCTCAGCTTACACTCTTTTTCCAAGTTTAAACAACCTGTTGTGATTTGCCAGAGTACATTTTTCACAGCCGAGCCTGAGAATTAATCTTCCCCAGGCTGCATGGATTTGGATCATGTTGAGCTCAGTAATATTGCAGCTCGCTGCAGCTAATGAGTCCTGTCCTATATAATGACTGAAATTAGCTAAGTAAATTGCTGTACGTCATTGTAAAAAGCGAAAGGTCCTTGTCAAATTGTAATCCATCCTGCTTTTAATAATTTTGGTGAGAAATCTTTTTGAGGACTCTCTGACACATGTCAAACATCCGCTGGTCCCAAGCACCTGTCAGAAATCAGGCGGTTCACCGCCTCTCAGGATTTAGGCACCAACAAATTATTAATGGACAGATGTCCTCCCATAGGTTATATACTAACACTTTATCAGTGAACTGCAAAAACAGTTTTGGGGGAAAAAAGACCTTTTCTATAGGCAGCTTCAGTTCTTTCTGCTCCAGAAATCATTCTGCACTGTGTGAAAATGGGGGAAGTGTGTGTGGCACAGCAAAGAAGGGGCTCTGAAGCCCAGGGGGTGACTTTCAAGCACTATCACTTCTTCTTGGCAGCTGAGTTTTGCCCTTGTTCTCAGCAGTTATGGGAGTCGTCATAAGACAAATCTGAGCGTGCGTGTGTACATGGGGCTGTAGCAGCTCATTTGCATGTTCTTGGGTAAAAAAAAAAAAGGTCAAGAATTTAAAAAATGCTCTAAAGGGTACTCAGTGAAAATAAGTACAATGCCCCAAACCAGCCTTGTATTTTTTCTGCTGTCCTTTGCATCTTGGTGGGAGGCCTTGGAGCCCTCCCTTTCCCAAGCCTGCTGCCTTACCCCCAAAGCTGATGGAGCCACCCCTGGCTTTCCAGCTGAACCTGCAGGTGAGGGCCCCAAAGAGCCCAAAAGAGCCACTCTTTAAATTGGTAAATTGGCTGTTTATGAACAAGCAGCAATGCCTCAGGGCAGAAATTTTGTCTTCCCCATTTGAAGCCAATGCACAGGAGCAGCATTCAGGCTGCTAAAAAATGTCAGGCCTTTAAAAGACAGGCAACTCTTCCAATTGGAAGCCGGAAATAATATTGCAGTTGTTTTATTTGATCTTATCCTCTAAGCTATTTGAGTAACAAAGTCAAAAGTAACATGAATAAAATCTCTCCTGAGAGTCCATTCAATGGCCCGCAAACTTGATAGGTATAAGGATTTGAGTCACATGGACTTCCTTTGCCAGAAGACTGTAAGGACCATTGATTTTTTTAAAAGGAGAACTGTAGGATGGGTTTATGATAAAATCCCATAATATTTACACAAAAGACTTTAGAACATAAAAAAGCAAGATAAATTTCAGGTGGGAGTATGGAATTGGAGGGGACAGTTAAACTTGCCTCCGCAATTTGTGGAAATCAAACATAAAAGTAGTTATTCTGCTGCTTAAGATCCAGATGGAGAAATTAATGGTAAACATTAGCAACTGGCTCATCTACTTTCACTGCTCAAAATGTCTGATCCTGCGAACAGTACTCAGAATAGATTTACAGTGAGTCGAGTTTATTAAGGAAAAAATCCTTTTTACACGGGTGAAATCAATAGTGAAGCAGCTGCAGTAACCAGGTTCTGTTAAGCGCGGTGGAGCTGGCAGAGGGGAGCTCACAGCACAACTCTGCCTCGCACCCAGCAATGCTTGCAAGAGCCTGCAGGCTGTTCTAGCTTCTGGCAATTGAATATCATGAACCACGTACAATATCAGGGGTAGCTAAAAACGTCATATTCTTGGTCTTATTTCCTAGCCTCCACAGGGAGAGTGTATAAGGAAGGCAAATCTGTTCCTTTTGTGAAAATCTCTTCCAAATAGGACCAACAACCCCTCTTCCTCCCCTTTTTTTTAAACTTAGGCTAATATGATACAAAGAAAAGGAAGACTGGGAATAAAACCTTTTTAATGCATGAATTTTAAAGATCCAGATTGTTTCTTTAGTAAAAAAGAAGATTAAAAAACTTTGGAACCTCATGTCTTAATGAATGTGAAAGGCCAAGAGTCAAATTGTGTTCTTAACTAAATTGGGACAGCTTTATTCATTTGACTGGGGCTCCACTGAAGGCAAAACTTCTCATATCCTGATTTCTGACCGAAAGCAATTCGTTAGACAGTTGTCATTATCCGATACTAAAAATGAGCCCAGTGTTTACTAGCGCAATGTACACAGGAATTTCCAATGGGAAGAGGAAACCAGAAGAGCAAGAAAAAGATGGAGATGAGGTAGATAGGTCTTTAGTAGCTACCCTCATTGTGGAAGATGTAAAACCAAATCAATGGAGCACAAAAGCAACCAAATTCTATTGTCAGCCCTGCAGCTAAGGGAAATGAAGGCAAAGGAGGATAGTCTTACAGCTCTGGTCAGGGTACAAGTTGCCCATGCTTTGGATATATTCATATTTCTGAGCACTGTCATCACAAATGCCTTTTCATGCAAATAGTTCTGGGTTAGTTAGTGATTCTTCTTTAATTAGGGCATGATTTTCTCATGCATTGCTCAAGGAAAAAGCTCCTAAAACTCTTGAGGAGTTTTAGCTGATCACAACGTACAGGGTTGGGCTGTTAATGAGCATGATGTTGCATTTCCTCCCTCCAATAATAAAATCAATGTTTCCCCCCCCAACTTGTGTTCTGCTGTTGATTTTTCTAGGCTTTGAGCACTAGCAGAGCCGATAGCTTCTGATGGAAGCAGCGGGGCATCAGCAGTAAGGAAAATCAGGCCACTGTGATTAATAAACCATCCAGTTTAAATCTCCACAGTGTGGCTGTCGGTCGAGCCTGCTGCGTGTAGGCCTGTCTGAAGCAGAGCAGAGGCACCTCAGCTGGGGCAGGCTGCTCCACCGAGGCATCGCTCTCACAGGGGCAAGGTGCCACAGGTGCTGCATTTTGTCATGGGGATCACAGTACCTTTCCAGGGTGGCCAGCAGAAAAAAAAAAAGAACCAACCATAACCCCCCAAAAAGGAAATATAGCTTCATTTCCTTTCATTTCAGTCCACTTGGGCTGTTGAGGGAACACTCCTGCCCTGAGGGGATGCACCTCAGCGCAGGATGAAGGGAAAGCGCTCTTTGCTCTGACCCACACAGACACTGGCCACCAGGCAGTAATAGCAAATGATCTAGCAAACCTTTTTTTTTCAGAACAGAGAAAAGAAACTAGGGCAAATCCATCTTCCCTCCCTGCCCCTCCCCCCTGATGACAACTATCTATGCCTCTTCAGTGGTCCCCCAAATCTCATCTCAGGTGACCCTAGTGAGCTAATCACCTTTTCTCTCACCATTAGCCACAGAAGAGAATAATCCATCCTGTGACCCATCCCTCTAGGCTCCTATAATGCTTAGGTTGTTGGGAAGGAGATTTAATTCCACCCTCCTAATGAGGAGGATTATAGAGTTAGGTGAAGCAATTAGACCTGGTTTGCTATTTGCAACACATTTACTTCTTCCCTTCCCAGCTAAAAAGCAGGATGGGAAAGCAAAACTCCTGCACGTCATTTCAAGCAGTCTTTTTACCAGCCTATCGTCAGCAGCTGCGCTGAAAACATTTGCCCTTCCCTGTTCCCTGTTGCTCTTCTTTTTTGGCTGGGTGTTTTTTGGTCCAGATCACTTTCCCAAACTGATTCATCACAAAGATTCACCAACAGCTGTAGTGCCATGCCCAGAGAGGCAGCAGGAGGTGAGGGGCTGCTTCAGCTGACACCCCCTTCCAATGGGCTGCTCAGGAAACCCTCAGCTTGGGGCACAGCTCCCCCCATGTGATGCGCCTGTCCCCGAGGAGCTGATAATTAGGATGGGCTCTCTAAATCCCATAATAAGCAGCAGAGATAAGCGCAATGGTGAATGGGAATGCCCAAAGGGTGTTGGGAACCTTCAGGCTTTCAGAAATACAATCTGTTTTGTGGTCTGTTGGAGGGAGGTGATGGTGTGCTCTGCAGCTCTGTTTGTGTATCTGTGCTTAATGTTTGGGTAAGCACCCTGCAGAACTCTATATTTTTGTGGGAAGAAGAACTTTAAGTCTTAATTATTTTTCCAGTCTTATCTTTCAGACTTTCACAATGCAGAACTAGTAAGTGAGCTGAATTTCAGAGGAGGTAAAACACTGATTTTAAGGGTAATGGCCCTGAAACTGCTGATTCCTTTAGCAAGTAAGACAGAGGTGAAAAATAAGCAGGTCAAAACCAGATCAATAATGTGCCTATCCAAGAGAATGGGTACAACATTTATATATCTGATTGAAATTTATTAGGAAACTCAAGTTTTATTATATTTTTTAAAATTATAAGCACATTAAGGTTTACAGATACTTGAAACAGGAGAAGTGTGCTAATCTAATAAGAAGTGCCATGAGCTTTTTAATGTTCATGCAAACATGCTTGAGGATTTCTCATGCAAACAAGTCTGCCCACAGGAAACTACTGGATGCTTCTGGATATATTTGTGGGATATGAGCAAGAGGTTCAAAGGAGCCCAGATACTTAAATTGGAGACAAATAAGTTAACTCCCTAACAATTATATCTTTGTAATTTTAATATAACTATGCAGCTACAATTTGTTTCCGAATTTTTTGTTTTGAATTTATCCAGGATGCCAAGCCTTGAAGAGAAGGTAGGGCAAATATAAAAGGACAAAGCAATTTCATAATGAAAAAGAGTTTCTTGGAGTTTTGTAATGGCAAGAATTTTAATATTAATTTCAAAGGTGAGCTTGTGAGCTTATTGGCGACTCCCATTTAAGATATCATGAGTGACATATGTAAAGTCATGTGTGCTGCTTTGAGCATTGGACTAAACTCACACAGTTGACTGCATTCACCAAAATCAAAATGTGTAGGGGTAAGGATTGGTGCATTTAGAGCTATCCTCAGGGAAAAGTGGATGAAACCACCAGAGGCGATGCTCGTTTCTGAAGCCATGAAGCAAATGAACAGTTAATAGATTTTCATTTGCTATGTAAGTGAAATGTAACTGCCAGTGTATCAGTTGCAATCATGCCAGCAGGTGTTTAATTGCTTATGCATATTTGAAACCCAGTTGCTTCATTAGGGAAGTTTTACTTCACCACTGAGACTGCTGAGTAAATAGCAAGTGTCCCCAGAAGCCAGCAAAAATTTGAATAGCTGCCAAGAGTAACTCACCAATTTCCAAAAAATAAAGGAGTAAATGTTAGTCTTGATAGGAGATTGCAGGAGGAAGGCTGGCAACAGATACAACATTATGTTACAGGTTAGTTGCAAAACTGTGCACCATCTATTTTATTTGGTTTCTTCCTTTCTTTTCAAACTGTAACAAGTACAGCATTAAAAGTCTGGACTTAGCGTCAGGTACTGCTATTGGCTGCCTGTACATTCTCAGCAGAAAAGGGTTCCAGTCTGGTAGAAGCTTTGATGAGCTACTTGCAAAATGCATAAAAATTAAGCTCAAAAGCATTTGCTAGGATGCATTGGCTACTTACAGAAGGGTCATTGGTGCCAAAGACGTCTCGCACATCCCGGACTGTGTGCTTGTTCTTCTTCCTCAGGGTCTGAGTGTAGGTGTTGTACCTCTTCTGTACGGCAGCAGCTTGAGTTCGGGTCAGAGTGGACAGCAGGGCTTGGCCATCCTCCTCTTCAGCTCCAGAGATCAATGTAGATAAACCTACATCTTGCAGCCATTCTGCCTCCAGCTCCCCTTCTGTGGAGGAAGAAAGTGTGTTACCAGGCCTGGCAGGGGAGGGAGAGGGGGCTGAAGGAAGGGACGTGGCACGGTGGACCGCTGCCTTAGCCTTTACCTCAAGAAGGCTCCAATTCCAATGTTTCTTAGGCCACAAGTGTAAGTTAATTTAGTTTTGTCAACATACTGTCAACTTTCAGTTTGGCCGACTTTGCACAGGAGAGGCTTAGGAGAAGAACAGAAGAGGTATTTTTAACCTCTGCATCAACACACTTGGGTGAAAAAGGCAGTAGGGTGCCTAGCCTGACACAGCAAGGGTGCTAAAAACTAACCCCTCATTCAAGAGCATAAATCCCCTCAGATACCATTTATGCCACATTGTACCAGATGAAGCCATTTGGCAGGTGGAAATTAAATTGGTATTCCGATTAAAGTAAGCAAAAATACTGAAGTGGTGTATACAATAGAATAATGTATTTGCACACTAAGGATGAGATTTGAGATGCCAGAGAGTCCAATGGTAATCAGACACCTAGTGAAGATGCCACACTGAGGGAAGCGTCCACCTAATCCAATAGCTCGTTTTGGACAAGATGGTCAAGTGCCAGAGCCGCTCACTAAAGAGCAAAGTCAGGTAGGGGTGGAAGATGCAGAAATAGCTATGCTTGCATGCTAGGTATCATCCTGATTTCTAATAATTAAAGATTGGCTAGCACGCTATACCTAGGGTTTCTTGATGTCCTGATTAATGACTAATACCTTCTTGAATCCTGTTCAAAAGCTGTTTCTTAAATGTTTCAATACGGCAACTGGTTCCATAGGTAGATTATGCACCATGTGAAAAAGTATTTTCTTTCCTCAGATTTCAGCTTGCTACCTAGCCATTAAATGAATATCCCCAGTCACTGTAGGATAGGGAGAAGCTCCCAATCTACCTCTTCTAAATCATTTAGTAATTTTAAATTTTGCTGTCACTGCCTTTTTATTTGTCTGCTTTTTAAAATACAGAGTCACAGTCTTTTAAAATCTCTCTTCACATAGAAGATTTTGAGGGCTTTCATTTTACTTTTGTCTGTGAACTACCCTAGCTCAGCAATAAGCTTTTAAGACAAGACAATAATTGCATTCCAGTTTTGACTGAAGAGCAGGTATTACAAATAAACACGTCAAAGAGGAAATGGATTAATTTGCAGCGTGTTCTATAAAACAACTAGTCAATGCGCTTATTGTTCTTGTCCCAGCACTGGTCTTAATGACAGGTTGGTATTTCCACTGTCTCTTTATTGCCTCTTCTTGACACCAGAATGCAGGCAGATTGATAGGTACCGGTTTGCTGCACTTTGGCAGTTAGATACACAAAAAAGAAAATTACAGGCTGGACCGTAGGGACAAGTGAAAGCATCTTACACATGTGCCTTCACTGACTTCATTGTTACCTGCCTTGCCTCTTTACAAAGCTCTAAAAAAATATCGGCTTCTAAAACCCCTGCTCTGTATTAGATGGGATGTGACCAGCCCTGTATCCCATGATACAGCTTGTCTCTGCTCTGGTCCTTTCTGTATCCACAGATAGGATCACAGCCTGTTCCTTGCCCTCCTTGAACCAATGGTTCTTCTGCCATCCTCACTATTCTTTCTAACAAGGTGTCTTTTCATTTCCTTGTGCCGCTCTTCTAGCCACATCCATTCGTGTTCCAGTTTCTTAATTATATTCATTTTGGCTTTTGTCCTGACATATTCTTTCCAAGAATGTAGTTTTTAATCAAACTTGGCTTTCATGACGCTATGAAAAATAGTAAAGCAGACATGAAATTGTGCCTACTTACCAGCCACCCCTATGATTTGTTTTCTCTGGCTTTTGGCCTTTTCCGGTTCTAACCACTCACAAACAATAGACTAAGAAATAACAACAACCAGAGGAGTAAAACTATTAAAGAGAAGGAATTTCTGCATAAAAAACCCTTAAAATTTTATGACACATAGGTTTAAATAAGGGCTAAAAGAAAACCATGTTGTTTTATGAAATATTTTTATGGTGGTAGGTACTTACACAGCAGGGTCTTGATACTGTGTTTGATTCTGCTCCACCAGAAGACAAACAGATAATCAAGAAGGTTCCCTCTGGTTGGTAATTCTCCTTTTCTCATAGAGATTATTAGGAAAGAGTTGTACCTTTCTTTGAATTTCAGATATAACCTCAAATAACTTGCAGCATCCCCGCCCTGTAACACTAAGTGTTAAAGCAGTTCTGCACATCACTGCCATCTTGAATACCCCATGACTTCCTCTTCCCCTGCATTTTTATCCCATATCACTTGTTATGATCTTCTGTTCTTTCTTGACAGTAGTTACTAATGTCAACAGAGTAAGTGTGCTGATGTCTTCCCCTTGCACATGTTGTCTGGCAAAAAAACCCTTTGTGGTTTTGACAATATCAGTGGTGCCTGGATACTATCACCCTTTGGCTTCCTTCTTAAGGATTCTGCATCTCTTCCTCTCAAAGACGTCTCAAAAGGGTGACAAATATTTGTTTTTATTTTGCCCTGAGGACTTCCACATTGATTTTCAGTGTTTAGATCCTCAGCAAGGAGTATTATCCTATTAAGAGCTTAATAGAACTCACTATTATTTCCAAGATTTATAAACCCAGACTGAATATATTCCTTAAGTTAATAACTAGAACAAGCACTGCCTGGTTGTGTGTGGGTGTACGCAATAGATATGTGTTTAAAACAACAGTACGAAGGTAAACAAAGTGTGGAGATGTATTGCATTTTATCTTGCAGTCTCATTTTGAATTCAGGACAGAGGAGAAAAAAATCAATACAATGTAATGAGGTGTAATCAGACAAAGGGCAACATGGAACTGCAGCAGAATTTGCACTGTTGTGAAGGTTTAGCTCAGCAGTGATGAAACTGATGGAAAAGTTTCTGAAAACATGGAAAATGGACTACTGTATTGCCTTTTCCTGCTAACTTAACCGGCTTGGTAACTCACAGGTATTGTGACATTCCCCTGACAGTGCAGACAAGTCAGGGACACCCGGTTCATGCTGACAATTGCATGAAGGAGACACCGAGAGTTTCACAACCTCTTTCTGGAGTGTCCAAGCTACAGAGCATGATCAGACAGGAATTTTCCCAGTAAAGTCAAACTGATTGAGGCAGATTGCTTTTCTGCCTTCCCATAACAATAGCCATAATATTTCAGTGTTACACCTTGATTTACTTTTATTTGAGACCACAGGACAGCACAAAGAAGTGAAGTTTGGATTTAAGCTGCCAGACCATAACCCTCATAGCAGACTGAGACTTCTGGTGAATGGAGGTCATCTTCTTTTGCTTCCAGGAGAGCCCTACCTGGAACTAGTGAGCGGGAGGTGTTCCCCATGGAAACAGTACATGGTTGGAGCTAGATACCTCTGTTTGGGATACTTATAATGACTGGTTACATATTTGGTTGCTTAATAAAGTAGCAGCCTTTCCCCCTTTTCACCCTTCTTCCTGGTAGCAGAATTAATGGCATCCCATTGCACGTCAAGGTAAGAAAAATACATTGTCACTCGTGTTAATAATTGTATGGAAAGAACACACCATTGTTTCAAAATCTGTCCCTAGATCAGTAGTTACCAGACTAGTGGCCATGATCCACAACAGGGTTGCAGCAGTTATCAGTGGGTCATAACCTCAAAAGAAATTTGGTTTCATCCTATAGTAACACCTGATATTTTGTGTTGCACAATATGATGCATTTGTAAGTCAAGTCATAACTGGAAAAACATTAAGAACTGCTGTTCTAGATGTTATCAAATCATCTCACATAAAGCTGCATTGCAACAAGCTAGTGCAGACTGTTACATGTTTTTCCAAATACATTATGAAAAAGGAGAGGGGGAAATGTTAAGGTAACAGAATGAGGTAGTAGTACCTTCAGCGCAATTTATATGTGATGAACAAATTTTGACAAGTGGGGAGTCTGAATGTTGTAGGCATCCATATTTTCAGATGTATATCTCTAATCTCTCCTTGAATTATATCTAAATTGGGCAATCTCAGAAAAACAGGCAGTTTTCAAATTTCTGATAACAGCAAACAATACCTCACTAAAAACTGCTTTGAGACTTTCATAACTTCTGCATTGTATCCTACCGAAAGCCAGAAAGTTGAAAATTCCAGTACACTGAATTAACTTTTTGGTCCTTTTATGTGTTTTGTTTTATTTTATTTAAAGCTGGAGATGAAGTTTTCATTTAGTGCCTCTCTTTCCTGAATTACACCATATCTGTCCTCCTGAAGTACAAAAAATTGGTGCAGAAAAACCTACTTCAGAAGACAATTACCAGCCCCAGTGCGCAAACCACATTGAATAATTGTTTCTTTCCAGTGATCTCTCATACATTGACTGGGACATTCAGAAGTAGAGCTACAATGATCACAGACCCAGCCTAGCACTTTGGCTCATACTGGATGATAGTAGGAAGGAGACCGGGGCATCACCAAGGAGACAAGGCAAAGCCAAGATGTAAGGAAGAAATGGTGTTCTTGTGCTCACCGTCAGCAGGTTTGAACTCCAAGAGCGTGGCTTCTTCAGATCCATCTTCGCTGCTCTCCTTGATGCTCTCCACTTCGCACCAGAAGTCCTCCATGGAGGTACTGTCCATGGAGGCCTGTGAGCTGGAGCGACTGAATGCAGGAGAAGGTGCCGACTCGTTGGAAAGCATCCTGTTAATTCTTCGACAACGAGGGAGAGACTTTCTGAAAAGAAACAGAGAGGAAAACAAAAATACTCTATCTTTCTCTCATGCTAATTTGTACCATGCAGGCAAAGCATACAACTAGGGCTTCAACTGTGACCGTACCAGGGAGCAGGGAACAAGATGTTGGAGGCAAAGTGCACAGTTCTGGTGGTCTTCGTGATCTCTGTTACTCATAACAGTTATGGCTGGAAATTTATTTTGTGTCTAATAATTTATCTCTTTAATATCCTTTAGTGTTTTACACCATACAGGGGGACTCAGGAGATGCAATTTCTATTTCTAACACTGATACCCATCTAATGAGATGTTGGAAAAGTATTTTAACTTCTTTGCATCTCAGTTTCTCTTTCTGTCTGTTCCTGTTTTGCTTACTGGCTGAAATGCTTCAGTGCAAACTTCTTTGGGGAAAAATAATCAGACTTGGGAACCCTGAAATATTTTACAAACTCATCTTGGCTCCAGAAAAAAATTAAAGACTTGAAATATTTTAATTCAGAAGAATAATTACCTTTTATTTGAAAACCCTTTCAAACATAATCCATTTTTAAAATGAAATTAAAATAAATGAAATCTTAACAAAATTTGTCTTTGAAATGAAATAGTATGTTTTAGGCCAAACAGAAGGTTTTGATCACAGGTTCAAAAAAATTATGATTCACTAAAAATCAAATTTCAAGTTACAATTCAATACAGTGATGGAATCAAAACAAAGAAATTTGTTCCTTAGTCCTTTGTTCTTGTCTTTTCCCACTGTAAATTCTTGCAGCTGAAGACAGTTACACAAGTTCATACAAAATCTTATAAAATACCCACCACAAAAGTCTTGTCTGACTTTGCTTTTTCACATTATTATGATTGCAATACTATAAGCAGCTTTTGTAAGTGTAATTACAGTAGTTACAGTAAACAGTAATAACAACTGCAACGATATTTGTCCGAAGGAGTCAGGAGGTAATGTAATTATGGCAGAGAGCTGGACTACAGGAATTAATGGAAAATTCTGTCATAAGGCCTTCTGGCCTTCACTTATCTGAATTAATTCAAATGCCGTTTCCCTTTCTCTTCTTTTTCTTTATGGCACCATCCTGCCAACAGGCCTTTGTTTAAAACCACAGGCATCACTTTTACTCCACTAAAAGGAAAAAGATACTTCCTTTTCAGTATTTCCCTCCTTGTCAAAATTTTCATAACGGATGTATAAACAAGATATTACTTAATAAAGCCGACTGGACGTGCTTTTCCCCCTTTGTGCTGCTGCCTCTGCTGCATCCCCCCTCGTCAGCGAAGGGCTGGCTGCTTCCCCGAGGCTCCCGGAGCCTCCTCGCGTGGTCTGGGCGGTCCCAGGCAATTCCTTCTGGGTTGGGTCTGAGCCCCAGGTTGGGGAGCCGCGGCGGAAACTGTGAAGCACAACAAATCCAGCTGTGGACGTTATCAGTGTTTCAAAAAGGCAAAGCTCAGGCCTTTGCTCCTTTTTGAACACAGGGAGGTGTCGAATGGACGATTCAGGTGCCAAACCTGCCCATGCGCTCTTGGTCAGCTGCCGCGAAGAAAAGCTTTCTGATGGGCGACATTATTTCAGCAGAAGAAAATGTACTGTGGTGCTGTGGAGACACATGTCCTCCAGGAAGAGAAGTGCTATCTTTGGTGTTTCTATCCTTTTTTTTTCCTCATAAACACCAAATGTTTGTTTGCTTTTAAATGTGGCGCTGAAACTGTTATTGTTTTAGTTAGAACAAACCACAGTCACCGAATCTGAGAAGAATTTGTGACACAAGTGTGGTTAAAGCTATTTGAGTGCTTTCCACGTAGTTCTCCCTCTGGGGAGATGTGAGTGTTTCAGTCATCTTTTGTTTGCAAAGCCTCAGAAGACCGGCGTACCTGATAAATCATAATTACTGCAATTATATATCTGGACGTGTGGGCCTCTGATTTTTTGTGGATTCACCTATCACTCTTCCCTGCAGCAGCAAGGAAGAAAAAAAAAAAATAAAACAAGTCTCACAGGACTTAAGTATAATGATATAATACTGAACCAGGCATCCCCGAGCAGAGTTTTTAATGAGCAGAAGCAGAACCCCTGAGAAGCAACCAGAAAACCCCACCTCTTCAGCTGGGACCTGGTGGGGAAACGGCTCCCGCCAGCCCATTGCTTACTGCTGTGAAAAGCTGCGCTCTTTTGTTTGAAAGGTGATAGCGAACACAAATAAGGAAAAAGGCAAAACTTCCTGGCACTCTACCGGCATCTGGGGCCCCTTTTTGCCGGGTGCTGTAGAAGCCAAGGTGTCCGGCGTGCGGTGGGTGCCCATCATCCGGCCGCAGCCTGGCCCCCCCCGGCCTCCTATTGAGCTCGGGGCTCTGCCTGAGACCCCCACGCTGCTGCCCACTGAGCAATTTATATCCCTGTTTACTATAAAGCTTTGTGAAAAATGAATCCCTACATCTGCTATAGAGCACAGCCCAGAGCTCCCACACCAGCAATCATCGGAAGAAATGCTCTCGCCGGCCTGGAATCAAACACGTGCTGGGATGAGAAGAGGGCTTTTTCCCTGATAACATCACTGGCTCCCATCATTTAGTCATGGTCAGGGAATTTAAACATTTCCTGCCCTCCCAGTGTGAATCTTGACCACGACCCTTGTGCTCTTCACGCACCACACCAGACCGATCCCTGGGCTTTGACTCCATCAGCACTTCAGCTAGCTCAAATCAAGGCTTTTTATTTCACCATATTAGGAAGAAAGAGGCTTGGCGGGTTGTTTCTTTTCTCCCCACAGTGAGTATGCTATTTTGTAATATTACCATACCAAAAAGCTAAATGCAAAACAGACCATGTAGCATGGCAACAACTGCTGTGACAACCAGCTTTACCAAATACGTTTAAGGTTCCGCGGTAATTAACGTGCATTTACAACAATATTAAAAGTACAGAGCTTATTTGGAAAATCAGCTGAACAAAGTCTCCTGAGAACCTCATATCTGAGGCTTGTTATCTCAGCCCGGATTAAATCAAGCTGTGTAAAATTCCTGTAACAAGAAAGGTTAGGCAGAGGTGCTTTATCCTTATTGGTAAATAGCTGAAGCTTGCTTCCAGGTGGTCTGGTACAAACCTTCTGCAATTATTCTGAGTCTGCCTATTAACAGCCTACATGTTTGGAAAGACCTCCAGCTGCTGTTTTGACCCATATACCTGTGGCTTTTGTCCTGGAGGAAGTGGTCTTGCTTTTATGTGATAATGGCAGTTGTCTCCATTTCCTCCAGCCAAAGCTGCTCAAAGCAGTTTCAGGGAAAAAACAACAACAAAAAAAAGCAAAGCATATTCTTCACCGCTTTTAATTCATTCTTGAAGGACACTGAATGAGCACTGACTCAGCAAACTGCCTGCCTGTCTCAGAAACAGCAGAACAAGCCCAGGTTGCCTGTCACCTGGGAACTCTCCTAGCAGAAAACCTATGTTCTGGATACATTTTTCACCCTCATCACTTTCTGGCTTGTTTGCTCTTCTTCTCCGTGTCTATAGAGAAGTTTACAAGGATAACATGTTTTCACTAAGCCAAATCTGTTGTTCTTACAGAAAATATGAAAACCAATCTTGTTAGGTAAGTAGCAATTTAGAAGCTCATGCTCAGTTTCATTTGCTCCCTCACACACATAGGCAGTGGTGAGCTAATCTGAAAGGCTGACTAAATTAAACACAGGAGGGATCTCAGATTCTGGCTTCCTAGATGGAAAATGCTGGGAGAGAAGGACGAACCTTAAAGCACCAAGCAAAAATTACAGTGACTCTACTGAATGAGCTGAAATTGGTTTCAGGGTGGAATTTAAAAAAAAAAAAAAAAAAAAGCCAAACAGACACAACCCCAAACCCTTGAAAAAGGAAAGAAGAAGAAAGAAGGGAAAAGTGTACTACAACAGGCAATATTATGAAAGAACTCATCTATTACTGGATATTAGTCACAGAATAAAGGGTTAAAGAGTGCCAGTAAGGAGAAATATGATATCATGTAGAAATCTTTCTGTGGAAAGATTTTTGCAAAGAAGCAGGGTATTTCCATGGGGCACAAGGAGGCTGATTCAACTGTGTGTGACTGGTTTTGCCCTGGTGTATGTTTATAATGCTGATGAAATGCAATAGCAAACCAGGCCCACTGAACCTATATTTTATATTCTGTATATCATGCAGAAGTGTGCTGTTCAGGGTCTGACAGCACACATCGATTTCAGGATAGCCAAGCTAAATCCAATAAGCAATTCTTATCCTATCCCCAAAGAGGTTTGTTAAACTACACAAAGAGCTGGTTCAGTGACGCCTAATGATTGCTTACAGGCTGACTAATGATAAAACCAGGCTTGTGTTTTCAGTTTAATTAAGTAATGGGTGGTAAAGAATCCATAAAACAAATGGGAGCAATAAAGCCACCTTGTAGTTAAAACCAGCATTTAATCCTTGTTTACACAGAGAGACAGTGCATCATCATACTTCATTTCATTCAGTGGGTCGTGAACCTGCTTCACCACAATTAGTCACATTTATAGGAACGGGGAAGATGAAGGAAGCAAATTCTCCTGGTCATTTTAGGACTAAGATCCACTTTTTCACATTGCAATCATTCTATCAGGGTAAGCCACTTAATGCAATGAAGTCAGCAGTGCCTGAAGAACACAACAGTGGCAGAGTACAGCGTTGTTTCCTGTATCCAGATCTTTCTATCCTTCAGTTTATCATAACAATTTGCCAACTTCTGACAAAAAATAATTACCCTCTCTCTGCTCAGCTCTTCCCAAATGTAAAAAACGGGATGGTAGCTTGCATTGGTAGGGAAACAAAATTTATTCCTCTTTATTAAGAACTATAATTTACTCTGTTCTGAAATGTTAGGAATCAGTCATGTGCCAATATGTCTCTCTTTTTCAATAAAATGTGTACAAATTCCAAGCAAAGGAAGAGTCCAGCAATTGGAAATAGTACCTTTGTGCACAGTTCACAGCACAGTTCACTCT